ACTCTTCGCTTCGCCCTGTCGCTCTCGGGGTTCTTGACAAATTATCGGTTAAAATACTCTGCTCACCTCTTCAGATCAGTCACCGTTACGTCGTTAAAAGTGACTGAGTTCCTATTATCCTTTTTCCAAGGTTCGAGAGCGACTTAACCGTTACCCACAGCGTACTCATATCGGTTTCAATGTTGCAACACTTCAGATGGTCTAACCACTTTTTCCTCTTATGCTCCTGTACCAACCGGTTGACTTCCACTGTCAAATCAATGATTCTAGGATCAGTAGGGTTGGTACGACGAAAATCATCACGCTCGTTTGCTAATCCCGTTCCTTTGCTGGGAAGTTTGGTCTTATCTCGGGTATTCGACCATAAGGTATATGTCGAGCGGCTGCAGCTTTGATGATGTTTCGGAAAATCATTTCTGCTACCCGAACATCAGAAGGGATGGGTAGTTCTCTGAAGCGGTGGATGGTTAATTCTCTGAAGTCTGGCCATTGAGCTTTCCCATGTTTAAGGAAAGTGCGGCGTTTAGAGGTTATGAAATCGGGCGACCTGCTTGTGGAGACGATTATCGGATGATGGTCTGGGCCAAGAGAAATGACGGGTTGCCAAGTCATGTCATTTATCAGACCGGGTGACACTATGGTTAAGTCTGGGGAACTTTAATACTCTCCTCTTAATCGGGTCAGTCAATCTGCTCTGCCAGCGCTGATCCCCTCTGGTCACTACCTAGGACGGAATGCCACAACTCATGGTTAGGCGGTTATTGTCTACCAACAATGAGCTAATATCAGGAAAATAACGCGGTTCACAGCTATATACCGATATTGCACAAAAAGAAATAAATAAACAATAGTAAACATCTGATTGAATGACAATGAATGAGAAGAAGTAGAGTTTGCAAATTCTTGCTGGACAAAATTTTTCTTGCAATCACTTGCAACTCTACTTCTTCTCATTCATTGTCATTCAATCAGATGTTTACTATTGTTTATTTATTTCTTTTTGTGCTTTCAATTTGGAAATATATTTTTGGAATCAGCAAAACTAATAATTTCAAGAGCACCTTTACAAAATGTGTATATAACAAAAAACGTAAATGTTAATATATAACAAAAATGAAAGAAAATTTCCAACATTTTATGACAAATGCCTTTGCATTTTCCTTGCTAAAGATAATAAAGCTACCTACCTCGACTCCAAGTTGTATATGAAAATATAATTGTTAGCAGCATTTTTTAAGTCTATAAAGGGCCCTTCAGGCGTTAATTCTGTCTTTTTTTGCTGGTCAACTTAAACATTTAAGAATATTTTAACAATTTTGTTGTGAAGCTGTTTTGTGTTATATGTTTAAACTCCTATGCCCATTTGATGTCACAAGAGAACAACAGAGAATTAAGCGATCGACGCAAGAATTAAGCGAACCGCCCGCCCGTTTCGACGCATATCTAACAGAAATGAGTCTCCAACATTCGTCGCCTAACACGCCAACAAACCCCTCTTCAAATGCTGCCCGGTCGTTACCGGACGTAAATACTCCATCAAGTCAGCAGCCTGTAGCCAAGCTAACGACGTCAGCAGTCGGCGTAGCAGCAGAGTTTAGAAAAGAACTGTAAACGGTCCGATCTTTACCATATTTTAAACAGATCTTGTGTTGATTGAGATATTGCAAGCCTTAATGCAGTCGGATGTCAATTTCTTTTTTTTAAATATTCAAAATTTTGACCCTTTGTTGTTGTTGTTGTAGCAGTAGTACATGCAAGTGTTTGCGTTCTGCTAATCTGGTTCCAGCTCCGGGTTTAGAAATTCGGCTACTTTAATGAGCTGTAGCCAAAAATCTTCTGAAGTGAGTTGGATAGGTTTGATTGTGCAATTAAAGAGGTGCAGCGTATTGTGCGGGCATGTATCACACGACTAGCAGGCGTCACACATATCTTCATCAATTCGTGCCCAATACGAATTGAGACGACTACACCATCCTGAACGTAATTGCGCCAAAACTACCCTGGTTTGGCAGCTGACGTTCTTCAGCTGCAATGGATGGGGGGTGGAATCCGAGGACGGCATTCTTTTTATACTTGCTAATAGCATCTGCGTCTGTATGAATGCCGCTCAGACATGCCTGATAGGCTTCTTGATCTAGAGGATCTCTCTCTTGTAACGCTGGACCTCCCTCTCTGGATCATGTATGTCCTTCCTGGCACGCCCGAGTGTAGGAGATTTATCCACCATATGATGGTTGGGATGACTCTCACACTCAAGCAGGTACTGCAACGAAAGCATATGATTATGCTGACGTAAGGGAAGGACTGTCGCCTCCTCATGTAGATGGTCCACTGGTGTTATGAGAAGGCAACCTGTCGCAGTTCTCAGGGCAGCGTTCTGGCAGGGTTGGATGAGCTTCCACTGTGTAGCACTGGTACTCGCAGACCACACTGGAGCCGCATAGCTGACCACAGACCGACCTATCGCGTTATAAGAGGTCAACAAGGTTTCTTTGTCCGCACCCCAAGTGCTACCGGCTAGCACCTTGAGGACCTTGTTCCTACTTTTCATTTTGTCGCAGATAGCGTCCACTAGATACTGTCCACTAGAATCCTGGGGTAGTTCGTGGTCGGTATTATATTCCCCTCGACCTGCATATTCAGCTGTGTTCTCATCTCCGCAGACCATGTGGTGAAGAGTGTGGCCGTTAGTTTCGTGGCGGATATTTTCATACTCCTTGCGTGGAAGTATGCGGCAAGCTCCGCGAGATAGGGATTCAGCCTTTCGCATATGTCATCGACCACTGAGCCCAACGCCATGATCGTACAATCATCCGCATACGTTACGATCTCTATGCCGTCTGGAGGGCGAGGAATTCCGGAAAGGTAGAGATTAAACGGTTCCGGAGATATCACCCACCTTGGGGTACTCCCTGTTTCACTCTACGGGCTTCACGTACGACTGGCGTCCACACATATAGTTGATTATCCAACGTTTCAAACTTGGCCGGAGGATAGTTCTCTGCCAGTCCTCAAACAGTATGACATGATTGACCGTATCAAATGCCTTTGATAAGCCAAGGGCTACCAATACTGTTCTGTCACACGGCTTGTTCTGGTTCAGTCCTCTACTGATATGTGTGGAAATGGCGTGTAGTGCTGTTGTGGACGGACGTTGTGGTACTATGTTATGCTGGTGGTTGGTAACTGTATAGCTTCCTCTAATGCTGGGGAGAAATATAGCCTCAAGAGTCTTGGCGACAAAAGCGAAATCGGCCTGTACGATTCGCCTTTACTGGCATCCTTGCCTCGCTTTAGTAGCGGGACCTCCCGGCCCGTTTTCCACGTTTCGGGCACTATGTGGGTGGCTAGCGACAAATTGAGAGCTTTCGTTAAGTACTCGACTCCTGGCGTATCCAGCTGTTTCAACATTCCCATAGAGATTGAGGCCCAACGCTTTGGATGACTTAGCGTTACGGATGACATTTGCAACATCGTCCATCGTAAACTGTGGTGGTTACTCCTCGGCGGGAAGAGATCTGATACGACGTAGTACTCTTCGCTTCGCCCTGTCGCTCTCGGGGTTCTTGACAAATTATCGGTTTAAATACTCTGCTCACCTCTTCAGATCAGTCACCGTTACGTCGTTAAAAGTGACTGAGTTCCTATTATCCTTTTTTCCAAGGTTCGAGAGCGACTTAACCGTTACCCACAGCGTACTCATATCGGTTTCAATGTTGCAACACTTCAGATGGTCTAGCCACTTTTTCCTCTTATGCTCCTGTACCAACCGGTTGACTTCCACTGTCAAATCAATGATTCTAGGATCAGTAGGGTTGGTACGACGAAGATCATCACGCTCGTTTGCTAATCCCGTTCCTTTGCTGCGAAGTTTGGTCTTATCTCGGGTATTCGACCATAAGGTATATGTCGAGCGGCTGCAGCTTTGATGATGTTTCGGAAAATCATTTCTGCTACCCGAACATCAGAAGGGATGGGCAGTTCTCTGAATGGCGGTTATTGTCTACCAACAATGAGCTAATATCAGGAAAATAACGCGGTTCACAGCTATATACCGATATTGCACAAAAAGAAATAAATAAACAATAGTAAACATCTGATTGAATGACAATGAATGAGAAGAAGTAGAGTTTGCAAATTCTTGCTGGACAAAATTTTTCTTGCAATCACTTGCAACTCTACTTCTTCTCATTCATTGTCATTCAATCAGATGTTTACTATTGTTTATTTATTTCTTTTTGTGCTTTCAATTTGGAAATATATTTTTGGAATCAGCAAAACTAATAATTTCAAGAGCACCTTTACAAAATGTGTATATAACAAAAAACGTAAATGTTAATATATAACAAAAAATGAAAGAAAATTTCCAACATTTTATGACAAATGCCTTTGCATTTTCCTTGCTAAAGATAATAAAGCTACCTACCTCGACTCCAAGTTGTATATGAAAATATAATTGTTAGCAGCATTTTTTAAGTCTATAAAGGGCCCTTCAGGCGTTAATTCTGTCTTTTTTTGCTGGTCAACTTAAACATTTAAGAATATTTTAACAATTTTGTTGTGAAGCTGTTTTGTGTTATATGTTTAAACTCCTATGCCCATTTGATGTCACAAGAGAACAACAGAGAATTAAGCGATCGACGCAAGAATTAAGCGAACCGCCCGCCCGTTTCGACGCATATCTAACAGAAATGAGTCTCCAACATTCGCCGCCTAACACGCCAACAAACCCCTCTTCAAATGCTGCCCGGTCGTTACCGGACGTAAATACTCCATCAAGTCAGCAGCCTGTAGCCAAGCTAACGACGTCAGCAGTCGGCGTAGCAGCAGAGTTTAGAAAAGAACTGCTGAAAATGCGGAAACAAATGCAAGAATTTATTCAGAGTCAGATGCTGGAATTGAAAAAAGAAATGGCAAAGACTTTGTCATCGCAGCAGCCAAACACGTCCGCCCAAAGCCTTCTGCAACAAACACCGCAACAACAAACATTTGGAGCGCCATTGGAGCCTCCAATAACGTAACAACAAGCCATTTGGCCGCCAGCACCGCAAATACCACCGGCGTTGCCAAATATGCCACCGTTAATTATACGCCATCCGGAGCCAATGCACGTAACGCATGAAATGTCCGTATAATACATGCCAGGACAACCACATAATTCCATTAATAATAACGTCGATTTGCTTCAAAAGAAAATTTATCCTCTTCCAATATTTGCAGGGTTGCCAGAAGAATGGCCAACATTTTACGAGTTTCTTTACAGCACCACAATATTATGAGGTTAAGAGACGCGGTAACCATTATTTGGAAGCTCTGCCAATGTGAAAGACATCATGGACAACCTTAAAGAGACGTTCGGAAGACCAGAGCAACTCATCGAAAGCCAAATTCAAAAGGTCCGAAAAATTCCCTCATTAGCTCAAGACGATTTGAATGCCGTAATTAATTTTGCCATTAAAGCATCAAATATGGCAACATTTTTAAAAAACGTTTATACAGTATGGCCCGGGATAGTGATTATGGCAGTGCATATTGTGAGAAAATAATGTCTTCATATTAAAGAGCTATTGCAGAAAACTTGAAGTGAACGAATTACCTTTAAATCCACAAAGAGTTTTTTATCTACCTCATTTTGGAGTTAAGAATGTGAACAAAAGAGGAATTAGGATTGTGTTTGATGCTGCAGTCAAAGTGAAAAATGTGTCGTTGAATAAGTGCCTTTTAAGTGGACCAGACATGAATAATTCCTTAATTTCAACTATTTTTAAATTTCGTGAATCTCCAATAGCCGTCTGTGGGGACATAAACGAGGTGTTTTATCAAGTCAAAATCGCCAAAGTAGATCAAGATTGCCAACGATTCCTTTGGAGAAACGGAGATACAAATAAAATAGTGGAGACTTATGTTACGCAAAGAGTGATATTTGGTGCAACTTGTTAGCCTATTATAGCTCAATATGTAAAAAATATGAATGCCAATATGTTTGTGAAAGAGTCACCTCATGCAGTTGAAGCGAGTGTTAATCGCCATTATGTACACGACTATGTCGACTGTTTTCAGAACGAAGAAGAAGCCGCAGAGGTGGTAAGAGGCGTGATTAGAATTCACAGTGCTGGAGGTTTTGCGTTGAAAAATATTATTTCAAATTCCAAGAGAGTACTTCAATCTTGGGGAGAATCGGCCAGCGGAGTCAACGATAGCGGTGAGTTTTTGAATAAAAATTCTTTTGAAAGGATTTGGGCATACACAGGTTGCCAAATCCAGATGTTTTTTTGTTTCCGCTTGAATTTACATAAAGATGATAAATCCATTTTAGACTTTTCAAAGACTCCTACAAAACGTCAGATGCTCTCTTTGAACTTATCAATCTATGACCCATTCGGATTTGTGTGCGATTTTATGGTTGCTTCGAAAATATTAATACAAAAAGTATGGAAGTCGGGTATAAAGTGGGACGAAGAGTTGCCTAACGATTTATACAGTAATTGGAAGTTATTGTTAACTGAATTAAATAGGTTGGACGAATTCTGTATTCCAAGGTGTTATCTTAAGGATCTTTTCAACAGAAAAGTTGATTTACATATATTTGCAGATGCGAGTGAAGAGGCAATGGCAACGGTAGCATATAGGCGTGTGGTAAGTGAAGCGGGAAATAATGTTTCTTTTGTAAAGGGAAAATCTGCTTGTGTCCTACAATATACCATACCATACCCAAACTAGAACTGCAAGCAGCCGTTATGGCTGTCCGCATGAAAGATTTAATCGTATACAATCATGTGAAAAGTATTAATAGCATCTATTTTTGGGCAGATTCTCATACGGTGATACGTTGGTTTCAATCGGATCACCGTAAATATAAGCAATATGCGGCCAACAGGTTGGCAGAAATCCTTGATAGCAGTGAAATGTATAATTGGAATTGATATCCAGGTATTCTCAATCCGGCCGATGCGGCAACAAGAGCTAAGTTTCCCATAAGGTCAGAATTTTTATGTCTTCCTGAATTTCAATAGCCTTCAGGATAAAACATTGAAAATTGTTTGGATGCCAGTGACTCTGAGCTGAGATCAAAACATGTCGTTCTCGTGACTCGTCAATGTGATTCGGTGGTTCCAGACATAACTCGATTTTCCAAGTATCGTCGATATAGACGCACCATGGCTTGGATGCATCGGTACATAGAAAAATTGTTGCAAATGCAAATAGGTCGAACTATTAAAGGGTGAACTTTCAGCAGAAGAAGAAGTATGGGCAGAACAATATTTGTGCCATGTATTCCGAACCATTCCGAAAATCCTATCATCCTTCCGAATCAGCACCCTTTCACACGTCTACTTGTCGAATCGTATCATGTCAAATTTTGGCATATAAATAAGTCAACAGTCATCGCTGAAGTACATTTGAGATTTTGGGTTCTATCTCTCCGTCCTTTACTCAACAGCATACAATTAACATGTCAGGTTTGCCGAATTCGAAGAGCGAAGCCATGTCAGCCTCAGATGGGTCTTTTGCCAATAGACCGTGTAACGCCATATGTCCGTCCATTCACTTACACTGGCCTAGACTACTATGGACCAGTGACTGTTACTATACGTCGCCAGCCAGAGAAGAGATGGGTCGCCTTATTCACCTGCTTAATGGTTAGAGCTGTCCACTTGGAGATAGCCGCCGATCTCTCTAGTGATAGCTGTTTATTATTCATAAGGAATTTTTTTAATCGAAGAGGTGTTTCTTTGGTAATCCGAAGCGACAACGACACTAATTTAGTTGGGATCGAGAAGCAGTTAAATGGTGGGAAAGGTTTTATTGACAATAATGTTATGACTTCGTCCCTTTCAGCATTGGACATCCAATGGAAGTTTAACACTCCGGCAAATCCAAGTGAAGGTGGTGCATGGGAATGGCTGGTCCAATCGATCAAGAAGTCTATGAATGTGATGTTACGAGAACATTCGCCCAAATTCGAGACCTTCTAAGCGTTTCTAATTGAGTCTGAGAACATGATGCGATGTTGACCTTCCCCGATATATATATATATATATATATATATATATATATATATATATATATATATATATATATATATATATATATATATATATATATATATATATATATATATATATATATATATATATATATATATATATATATATATATATATATATATATATATATATATATATATATATATATATATATCGGGCTGAGGAACTGACAACTCCTGCTTTTTAATCTATATATAAACCAATTGTTCTTCGTTGGTAATTGAATCAGTTGAGACCGGCAGGAACGGGGTATTATTTTTTTAAATGTTCGTCCTATTTAGTTTTTTATGCAAAGAAAAAGCGACCATATATATATATATATATATATATATATATATATATATATATATATATATATATATATATATATATATATATATATATATATATATATATATATATATATATATATCGGGCTGAGGAACTGACAACTCCTGCTTTTTAATCTATATATAAACCAATTGTTCTTCGTTGGTAATTGAATCAGTTGAGACCGGCTGGAACGGGGTATTTTTTTTTTTAATGTTCGTCCTATTTAGTTTTTTATGCAAAGAAAAAGTGACCATCCCCAATTTTGCTCCCATTTTTTCGATTTATCTAAAATCCTAATATTTGCCAAAATCATGAAAATATCTGTTCCACAGTTAGTATACGACGTAATCTTAACACTCTCTCCCCCAACCCTAGGTATCTGTTTGGGGTCAGAGGAACTGGCCACACCTACTTCTTTAAAATAATTTGAAAAGGTATAGTAACACATCAGTTGAGAATGGCTGGGCCGATTTGAATCAAATTTTCTTTTGGTTATTTGTAATTACAGTGGAAACATTGTCATGAAAGACAATTTTGAGAAAAACCGCGGAACTGAAAAAATTGACTGTTCTATTATGATATGGAATTTTGTGTAGAATTGTTTCAGAATGCCTTTTGGAATTAAAAATTCTTATTGAAAAAAAAAAAAAACGAAAAAAAATCGAGAAAGTTTGCATATTTTCTATACATGCTGTTATATGGTTGCCATAGCCAAATTTTCAGTTTTGATGAGATATGATATGGGACTTCAATCAGTGAAATGCCGAATATGAAGATTCTCTGTAATATGCGGACTATACAAAATAGTGGAGTGAATTGAAAATATAGTAAGAAAAGGATTCCTATGCTCGGAAAATTCTTCTCAACCCTTAAAAGTAACCTTAAATTATAGGCAACGTTATACGGGCATGAGTGCGGCTGTAAGATTTAGAAGATTTTGCAAAAGAATTTTAGTTTTATTTAATTCCTTGGTTCTTCTTCTATTGAGCATTCGATCTCGTCATTTGGGTAAAAATTTTTTTTTTGGCATAGAAGCTATTTTTAAAATAACTTTTTGGGAGAATATCCCAGACAAAAAGCAAGGGAACTGATAAGGATTGGTGGTTCTTTCCGAAACCTAGGTATTTCCTAGCTTACCTCAAAGAAAAACAACAATAAAGGGACTAAGTCTGACCACTTTGTGACAACAAAATACTATGGTATTCCAAACAAACAAGCCAACACTGTTCAAATTTGGAAATTATATTGAAATCGGTTCAGATTTCCATATAGCTCTCACATATATTTTCGGTCGATTTCATGCACTAAACGTGACGAAGTATTAGGTCGTCTTCTATGATATATAGGAAGTCTTAAGTCGTAGATGGCGTGTTCTGTGTCATGGAAGAAGTCTTAAGACGTTCTCTAAAGCATAGAAGACGACTTAAGAGTTCCTCTATGTCATAGAAGACGGCTAAGATGTCCTCTATAATCAGAGGTCCTATACAACTCATCGTACAGATTAACATTAACACAGGCAGATATATCCGCCTTGTCATTAACCATGGTAGAAGAATACAGGTAGATGCATCAAAGCTTGGGAGCATTGATATTTCAAAATTTCCTAAATGTTTTTTTTTTTTTTTTTTCAAATATGAGTAGATTCTTAAATGTTTTCTTATACGTCATTCGGAGGTTATTATAATTCGAGTTTTTTTTTAAGAATTTTTACAAATTTAAATAATTTTTCATTCAACATTTTCAATTCCAAAATTGGTTTGACAGTTCATTGTTCCAGCAGCTGTATCGATGCGTCTACCTATATTCTTCAACCATGATTAAATCGTTACCTAAAATTCAACTCACTCGGTCGACGTATTGCACCACACATATTTTATATATATGAATATTAACCAAACACGTCGGGCCTTCAAAATGTCAAGGGTGACCATTGACAACTGGACAACATTTTGTGTGCTTGTGTTGAAAATACTAACGAATAATACAAAAATTTCGATTATTTGTATTTGGTAAATACTACAATTGTGTGAATTTAAAAAAGTAGCAAGCTTTAGAACGTCAGATTTTAAGATATGCGTTTGGCGTATTGGGGCAATACGGACGTGTAAAATATTTTAACAAAGTTTGGAAGTTGAATATTTGTGTACGCTACGTCGAGTTTTGGGTAACTCAGGTAACAATATCATATCACATATGTGCGTTCTTATATCTTTCGTTTATAGTCCACTTTTTCTAACCCTTACTTTAGGAAAAGTGAAGTATAAAGTTCTCATTATTACATCTTTCCTTTAAAATATATGCATTTTTTACAGAGATATGGCAAGTATTTTTTTAAAGTAACTGGTATTCACTGCATTTTTTCACAATGGCATCTTCATTTAAGTTTAAAAATAATAAACGAAATAAACTTATAAAACAGTTCTTCAATATAAAAAAACGATATGCGTTATCCATTTTTTTATTTAAATAAATTTTGCTGTTGTTGCCATATTATCAAAAAACGAGGTGTTACATAATTTTTGGCCCAATCAAACTTATAATACCCCCAACACATAGTGTTGTTGGGTATAAAAATATGGCAAGGAAAGATGGTCTGACCTTTTGATTATCGGACAGTTCATCCTTAAATGAAACTTGTAATAACGAAAAACGAATAATGTGTCCGAAAACATCACTTTTTTACCTATCGCCAAGATGTAATAACCAGTCATAGGCCCGTTCTTATATCTTCCCTTTACAGTCCACTTTTGTTATCCCTTACTTTAGGAAAAGTGAAGGATAAAGTTCACATTATCGGATTCTCATTATTACATCTTTCCTTTAAAGTATGTGCATTTCTTAG